GTGTGTCTTCATCAGCCCTGGATGACTCACATCAGGGAGTCAGGCAGGGGCTTAACTGCCCTCCTGTCTCAGTAGCAACTACCTCAAAACTCCTGATGTAGGCATCCCAACACAAAGACCAAGACCTCACCTCCATGCCTCCTGGTTATACGTGCGCTCAGCTACCAGGAAGCCAGGGTGGGTGGGAGCAGAGAGGTAAGTGAAGAAAACAGCATGAAAGCCAGAGCGGGATATACTCAGAGGATTTGGGTGTTGTTTGACACCAGGAAATGCATGATGGGGAGCAGATGCCACCTTGGTGCCCACCTGTGGCCTAGCCTCCCTCCCTGTCCCTGGTACTGATATGGGTCTTTGTGGACACCTGGAACCAAATGTGTCAACCCCAGTGCTCCACCCTCGGAAGTGGTAAACCACAGCGGCCAAACCAGTTCCAGGGCATAGGTTTCTGGCTGTCATTCTCAGCCTCAGGCACACCCATGATCCCTGACTCTACCAGGAGTCCCCGCACACTGGGGGCTGAGCTGGCCTGGGCAGTGTCTGCCTCCAGAAATCAGAAATTTGTTCATTTCTTCACTCAGCAAATGTGTATTGAGAGTCTACGGCATGCAGCTGCAGAGTACAACCTCCTCCCCTCAGAGCCTCTTCTTAGAGGAAATTAGGATCTCCTAGACTCTTCCAGATGGTCCTTTCCTGCATTCCTACTCCCACTCCAGACCAAGAAATACCCAGAAGGCAAGGATTTGATGAGGATATGGGCTCTGGTCCAGGGAGAGACTCCCAAGCAGGTTACAGATCTTTGGGACACTGCCTCCCAAATGCCCAGTGTCCTAGTCCCTTCTCAGGAGCCCAGACCTCCCACATCTGACAGGTCACAAAATATAACAATGGTCACCATATACCAGACACTCACCATGTGCCAGGTTTATGATGCTAAACTTTCATGATGGGTTTTAATTCTCATGATGCCTCTGGAGAAAGGACTGTCCTCATTTGCAGATAAGGAAGGACACTGAAGTTCTGAATACTTAGATAAACTGACCAGTCACACAGTAGACAAGCAGCAGAGCTCAGATTCAAACCCAAGCTCACCTACCTGGAGTGGAGAGCAGAGGCAACACCTGCCCTGAAGAAGTGGGGATTTGGAAAACCTACTTGAACGGGGAGTCAGGCCAGGGCAGTGTCCATCCTTTCCAGATGAGGCCTGGACCACGTGGCGCCCTCTGCTGTCTTGGGCCCACCCTACACTAGCTCCCAGGTAGCCACATTACCCAGCACCCCCAAGGCACCACCCCTGCTTTCCACACATTCTCCATCCTGTGGCTCAGGGCAGCCATACTGCGAAAAGGCATTTCTCCCAGCCCAGCGCAGTCCCTCCATGGCCCTTGCTATCCCACTACCCTCTAATTCTGTGGGGGTCTCGGCTGCTCAGAGGCCCTGAGCAGTGACAATCCAGCCTTTTAACGATCTTGGGTGTCTTGGTTGCTGACCTCGGCTGGAGGCTGGGTGCAGGCAAGCATGACCCCCACAGGGTCTCCTGGGGCCCTGGCTTCACTCTTCCATATCCTTGCCAATTGGCCCCTAGGTGGGGGCCTCTCCTGGCTTTACACTGGCTCTCCCTGCTTCTACCTTGTTCCCCTATAGTTTATTCTCAACATGGCAGAGGGACCTTGTAAAGGATGTCAGATGTGTCCCTGTGCTCACAGCCCTTCAATGGCTCCTGTCTCACCCAGAGTGAAAGCCGAACTCATTTCAGTAACCTCGAGGCCTCACCCTCCCCTGGCCCTTAGGTCCTACTAATCTTCTCGCTTGTGCGGGAACAGCCATGCTTCCACCTCAGGGCCTTTGTATTTGCTGTTCTCACTGCCTGGAATGTTCATAATCCACTATTTGTGCATATTAGTGAAGGCTTCTCTGGCTGTCGTACTAAAATAGCATTCCTGTCTCCCTCACCAGCATTCTCTGCCCGTCTTTATTTCTCTCCAGAGCACCTGTCACCTCTGACATATTACATCTCTGTTAATTGTCCATCCTGACTAGAATATCTCCAGCACCTGGGATAGTGCCTGGCACAGAAGTAACGTTCAACAAGTGGACGAGGAAATGAACTGCAAAGGGGCAAGGGCAGCAGAGCTCTCCCAAGCTGCAACTGGGCTCGGGCAGTTGACTGAGAAGCCTATATTCTCACACCTCTTCCCCCTCCACACAGATAGAAACAGGGCCATCTGGAATATTCCCCATAGTGGCACTGATTTCCTTTCAGTGTTTCAAGTACACCTCCCTCTCCCATCTTTCCTCAGACTGTTCCCTCTATTACCTTTCCATCTCCCCATCCTTCAGGTTTCAGCTGAGATGTTGCTTCCTCAGAGGCCCCCCAGATAGTCCTGGGAGTGAAGGATGATTACTCCACACTCCCTAGCACTGACTTCCATGTTCACAGGAGTTGTGACGCTTAGGAGTTTCCTGTTCAAAAACTGAGCACCAGGCTGGCCTAACCTTGGGCCTCGTCTGGATGGTTGTGAGGAGTAAATGAGGGAAATTCATTGTTGTTTGTGACAGAAAAGCAGCACACTGGAAATAATGTTTAATCCAGAAATCACAGCCTCAGACAAACCCTGGGAAATGCCGGGCAACTATGGCTCATATTTTGAATGTCACCTTTCTAGATGTTTTCAGATACCTGAGACTCTAGTGGGGGTGGCCGACAACCCTGGCTCAGCTTCACAGACCAGCAGGTGGTGTTGGGGGGTCCTGCAGCCCTTCAGGCCATCCCCTACAATCCTCACACCATGTGCGGTCCCAGGACCAACAGTGTCCACTACCTGGGAGTTTGTAGAAATGCAGAATATTGCCCTCTTCTCCATGATCTACTAAATCAGGATTTGCATTTTAACACATTTAAGTTTGAAATGCACAGCCCCAGATCACAGCATTTCAGAACTAAGGGTTAAAAAGGGTATATATTACATATATACGTATATAAATAAAATCCACTGAGTTCTATCCAAGTCCTGGTTTCTAAGCCAGTACGTCCCCGTTTTACAGAAGAACCTATGAGCCATTAGTCAGAAACGCTAGCCTGTCAGAATCCATTCTCTGGACATCCTGAACCCTTAACTCACACATATTGCCCCATCTCAAAGCAGTCTTGTCTGCTCCCTGTTCCATTCCCATTTTTGAAATGAAGGGCTACCATGAGCGCCCTCGGTGATTGCTCTCTTGGCTGCCAGACAGGGCTGGACACCAGGTGGTGCCTGGGAAAGTGGCTGGATCCCAGCAAGCATGTGAGGGAGGTGCCTTCTCAAGAACAGTGTGGGAGGCCCTCAGGTACAACCTGAGCTGGGGCAGGGAGGTGGCTTGAGAGGACCTGTTCGCTCTGCCAGGAGGGCTGGGCCTGGACCACTGCAACTGCCTCTCCCACCCACTAGACAAAAGATCAGCTAAGAGTCCCATCCCTGTTACCTAGCCCCCGTGGGAATAGCTCACGCCAGGAACTACCATCAAACCAGCTCCCTTCTCCCAGGGCCTGGTGACTTCTTGACAGGTTACAGCCCCAAAGACAAACAGATTCTGCCAAGCAAATAACTGTCCAGCAGTGGGGGTGTTGGGAAAGTCCTGGGAGTGGGTCTGAGCTGCCAGAAGACCCAGGTCACAGGGTGGGGGCCCCTCTCCTGCAGAGAACAAACAGCCGTGGGCACCTGGAAGGAAGCAGGATGCAGGTGTGCTGTCCTGGCACTAAGGGCAGGGGCAAGGGTGTTCACCCCAGGGGTCTGTGGGCCCATGCTCTCTTGCCCTGGGCTCAGACTCATGAGTTTTGCATTCAGGCCCTTGGAGCAGGGACCAGTTCCCTCGTGGTGCCTCCATTCCTCTCATGCAATCTGTGGCCACTGATTTCCTCACTGGGCTGCCCCCAGGGAGGTGGCCAGGGAATACCCTCCCCATCAACTCCTGCACCCTAGGTCTTGGGGCTCACATCCAGGGCCATCATCATTTAGAACACACACACCTTTGCCAGCGAGGGTGAAGGCCTAACCTGGGGGTCTGCAACTGAGTGAAAGTAATGCCAGTGCCTGGGAGCCAAGACAAAGGGGTCTGAACCTCTAAGACAATCAACTCCCTTCCCTTTCTGATCTCACCTTCTCTTCAACACAGAGGGGTGATGATGTGACTTACAAAGCCGAGTTTTGAGTTCTCTGGAGTGCTTACAGACAAAAGGATGGTTCCAGGCAACCCATGATTTGCCATCGTATCTGCCAATTAAGTTTCTTTCATGCTGACCACAATTAACTTGCCTCCCCATCTCCTGGCCAAGGTCATAGGCCTGTCTCACCTAAGTAACAGACTGCAAGTTTGTTTGCCAATTGCCTGGAGTGGGGTCCCTACCTGATTATCAGACTTCCAGGCTAGTCCACAAAAGCTTACCCAACCAATGTATACGCAAGGAGTGCCTAGAGCACTCATGAACTAATGTCCAACCGCCATGGGAAGCATGCAAGGAAGATTCATTCCATCTTCTAAATCTAGGATGCCCGGTGCCCAGCTGAGACTGAGGAGGAGACTCTCCAACTCAGCCTTGTCTGCTTTCCCAGTAGGAAAGGTGCCTGTGACAGTCTGCAGTCTTCCTGTACTACCCTGGTTTCTGTGCAATGTGTTTGACACACAGGAAATCTGCCCCAACAGTGCTTGCTAGCTCATCAACACTAACTTGGTGGTACTTATGTGCTGGAGAAGTGCTCAATAGATTCACGGTACTCTGGGGGCCTAAAGGCCACTGGAAGCAGTTTTCTTATGTTTCTAGTCACTGGGAGGTAGGAGGGCAGCAGATTTAATCATAACCCCAGGACTGATTTCCCAGACATATAATGAACCTCAGGGTCTCAGTTTTCCCATTTGAAAAAGGTAGACCCATAGAGCAAAAAGTATACATCACAGAGCCACTATTGGGCCAACCAGGGACACAGGGGACTTGAGCGCACAATAAAACTCACTGACACATACAAAAATAGTTTTGTGTGTTAATTTAATCATACAAATATTCATTTATACAGTAAGGAAAAACCTCCTCATCTTCATCTCCTCCCAGGCACCATGACGCCCCAGCACAAACACCCACTCAGTGTGCTTGCTACACACCCCTGTCCAGGTGGAAGGGCAGCCACTGCTGTTCCAGCACTCACCCAAGGAGACTAAGGAAAGGTAAGGCCGGGTGCACTGAGGACCCAGCTTGCAGCTCTGAGCCCTGGCAGCCCCGCCATCCTCTCCTGCTGGGGATCAGACTGAATTTGGGGAGGTGTTAATTCTCATGCCCATTTCCCACCTGACCACTCTCAGGCTACACCAGCTGTCTTGGTGTGGTTCTCTCCAGGCTAGAAGTGCCTCTGATGGGCTTAATGTGACAGACAGTCTTTACTAGGGAAGAGAAGGCTGCCTTTTATAGAAAAATGCCCCAAATTCAACTGTCCCCATGACAAAAAGAAAAAAAGGCATGCACGCGTGCACACGTCCACACATACCTCACTCCATGCACACAGATTCTTCCCAAGCCTCAGCCCCTCTGCCTCCCCTGCGGAGCTCAGGCCCCCCAAGGACAGTGCCTGCTTCACCTGACTGCTGCCAGACACTGGTGGTCCTGTCCAGAGGTAGCCTGCCATGTGGTGACAAGACCAAGAGCAAGGGAGACTACTGGGGATGAGAGGTTAGCATCTACCACCCTACTGGGCAGGGGAGTAGAGGGGCTCTGGGCGTTGCTCAAAGCCAAAACAGCGAGAGGAGGCAGAATGGTATTGATGCCCTCCTGGTCCTGGAGGAGCCATGGACTTCCTCCACCCCTAAACCACGGCTTGTGCTTACTCTGGGCCTCTGCAAGAAGTTCAGCTCTCCAAAGATGTGTACAGAAATGGTTTATTCTTAGGAGGGAAGCCAACATGCTTAGTCACCTTATAGGTGAGGTTACCTACAGGGAAGAGGAGGAGCAGGGTGCCTCTGGCAGGGCCAGACCTACTGGTGGTGGCCTATGAAGCCCCTGCTGAATAATGGCAGGTAGCCCCTCTGAGAAACAGGAAAGGGACACCTGTGTCGGGGAGATGAGGAAGCCAGGATACCAGGGGATGTAGTTTCCCATAATCCTGCCAGGAGAAGCTGGAGATGCACTGCTGTGAAGGTGAGCAAGCCAGGAGAATGGCTGGACTATGTGTGGGTTCCTGGCGGTATCCCAGGAGGTTGGCACCAACAGTAGCCGCAGGCTGGGCCTGATAGGGCCCTCAGACAAAAAGCCACTGTGAGCCCCTGGCTTGGGCCACTGGTGGCCTGGGCACCGGCAGGGACTCCCCTCTGTTCTGTTCCAGAATGGGGCATTTTTCATGTGCATAGAGAGTGGGTGCTCCAGTGTGAGCCCTAGTCCAACCCCAGCGCCAGCTGTACCGCCCTTCTCAGCAGCATGGCTCCACCCTCCCCCCGGGGCTTCTCCAGCGGACCAAAGTTTATTCCCCCTTTTACTTGTTGGGAAGTGGGGAGGTGAAGGAATTTTATACAAGCTTTTCTCCCACAATCAAGCTTTAAAAAACAACTGTGTCAGAAGAGGATGAGGAGGAACAAATATCACGCATTTGTGGAACTCAGACACACAGAGACAGGCAGGCAGACCCTCACCCATACCCAGGCTATAATGACCCCTTGCAGCCGTTCATCACCTGGTCTCTCTGCTCGTCTCACACCTCTGGGGCATGACAGGCAGGTGACCCTGCATCCACACCCTAGATCCATATCCCTGGCTATCAAACCAACCAAGACTCGAGGGAAGGAGGGGGTTGGAAGAGAAGAGGGACTTTGCATATTCTTGTATCTTTGGCAGATAGCTGTTCTCGCCTGGTTCAAGCTTCCCATGGAGATACCCACGTCTCAACCTGCTCAGATCCACAGGATGCCAGTGGGACCACCTACCCAAGTGGGCAGCCAGCCAGTCAGCCTTTGTTCCTTGCCCACCACCTCCCAAAAACCAAGCATCCTACTCAGGGTGGGGGTCCTCTGGTTTCCATTAAAATGTGGTCTCCAAGATCATGTTGTCAGTAACTATGGCCTTTCCCCACGGCAAATTCCCCATTTGGGGTTGTATTTTCATACCTTAACAGCTCAGCCTCCACTAATGGGCTGTGAAAACATCACAGTGGGACAACCGGACAGAAACACAGGGAAGGGAGTTGTGAGCCAAAAGAGAAGCATGGGACACCTTCACACTCACTGATGAGCTGCATCAACACCCATGTGTGTGTGCCTGTGGCACATCCATATACGTAGCATGGAGGAACTATTCCCAGAGCAAATGGAAAAACCCCGTGGACAAAGAATCCAAAAGAGCAGTAAGCATAATGGCATCTCTCTCCACCAAGAGAAACATGGAAGAAGAGCAATTTGAATTGTTACAAGTGTGTGCAGGACACCTCTCTGCCTCAGAAACTCCCACACCACCCGAGATCTGTCCTCAAGGCTTCCTCTGCTGGCCACACAGGGAAGTTTGGTCTTCAGAGAGTTTCAGATGGTAACAAGCCACAGGGTTGACAAATACAAATGTCAAAGGTGTAAATCAACAGAAGATTAAAGAGAAAAGAAGAGGAAAAGGGCGATAATTGATTGGTTGATGCCATTAAAAACAGATGGAGTCAGAGACTTCTGGAGTCATGTGGCATGGCAGATGTCTTCCTGTAAGACTGACCCAGAGAGTCCCCAAACATGCCACACCAGCTTTTAACCTGAATCGCTTCCAGAGCAAGCAGCTATTCTATAGAGTATGTTATCCCTTATCCAAAAAAATAAAAGTGGGGAAAGAGGGAAAAAATTAACATGTGCTCAAAACTACAACCTGTCCGTAGGCAAAATAATTTTTGTTGAAAAAGATGGCTTTTTCCCCCCATTTAAACTTTTTTTCCCTTCCCGAGTGACCTAATGATTTGTTAGACTGATGCCTACTAAACAAAACCAAGGCGGCTGCACGGATTTCTTCTTGGTAGCTCAACACCACTCCTGCAATTCAGCATTCACACATGCATACTGAGTTTACTCAAAACTAGTCTGTTCTGCTTCTTCCTCTTCTTCCAGGATTGGGGGTCAGAGCCAGAGGTCCATGTGACGCGGTCTGCCATCCAGAGGGAACCCCTTGCCCGCCCCCCAAAAAAGTCAAGCCTTCGGTCTTATTTTTCTTCTTGCTGACACCCGTTTAAGACTGGCCGAAGGGGTAAGGCCCGTGGAGCCCCTGGAAGAGAGTGAAGACAGTCAGTGGTGGCAGACACAGCACATACACTTTAACAACCAAACCCAGTAAAATAATCTGTGGTTCCCAGTGAGCCAGAAGGAAGCCCCAAGGCACGACAAGGCCTGAGGGTTGTCCTTGCTATGCAAAGCCCAGAATGCCAAGTATCAGCATTTCAAGGTGCTAAGTGCTCTCACTCAGTCACACCATCATCAAAAGGGAAGCTGGAGGAAAGACTCTTCTCATCTTTCAACTTCTAGCTCTAGATTGGTGCCAACTTTCCTCCACCTAGGCCACAAGGCCTTCCTTCCTTCCTTGACAACGGTGTCTCAATCTTTCTGCTAAAGATCCTTGTACACCACTTTCTGCACCTTTACTTCAGATGTAGGCTACTGTGGCTATCAACACTGCAGCAGAGACAGCAACTTTCTACAGGCACCTAATACCAGGCATACTACTAGGAACACTGTGTACATTGTCTTTACTCCTCATTCCAAAAGCCAGTTAAGTATTATTACATGCATATGACTGATGCCCACCAGACTGCAGAAACTAAGAGACTTGTTAAAAGTCACTTGGTACTAAAAGGCAGAGCTAAGATTCAAACCCAAGTCTGATCTGTTCTTCCCACATTGCCTCTCCTTTGCCACGTGATGGTACGCTTACCTCCAAATTCGCAAAGGCATTTTCTATGCTGCCTGGCTGGGTGGAAAAGTATTCACAGTCTCACTTTTCTCTTACGTTAAGAATGAGACACCAAGATGTACCAAAAGCAGCTGCATGAACTCACTGGAGGATGACCTGTGTCTCTCCCACCCCCTTCCCAGCCTCCTCCTAGAGTGTGCTCATTGACGCCAAGACCCAGAAGGGCAAAGGTCTAACTGGTGACCAACCTAGTCACTAGGATCATATACCCCAAAATGCCGAGAAGCAGCAGGGCCTCTGGACCAAAGGGGCACGGAGTACAGAGAGCAGGTCCCTCAGCCATAACCATGACAGATGACCAGAGGGAGTTTCCCAATGCTTGACAACTATATTAAGAATACTGAATCTAGGCACAATTCAGGGTGGTGAGGGGTTCACCTGAATGACTGAGATGACATTTTTAATTAGCTTGATGGGATGCGGGCAGTCAGAATTTGACTACCTTGAAAAAACATGACACATTAAAAAAACAAATAAATAAAACTGCTTGGTGGTAGAGTTGCCAGTTATTAGAATCCCTTTTCAGGGATGACACTTGTTTGCTACCACCTTCCCAGCACCTAGCATAGCACCTGGCCCTTGGCAGGTACCTAGTATTTATTGAGTAACTGGAAGACAACAGGTATTTCTCATACTACTACCTGGAGCATCAGACCCCTCTATATCACAGGAATATTAGCCCTTCCAAAATCAAGTTTTAAACAGTTGCTTAGGCCTGGCAACACAAGTGTCAGGGTCATGCCAACCATCTTGGTCAAAGCCCCCCAAGGCCCAGGAGGGGTAGGGCTCTGGAGATGGTGAGCTGGAGAATCACAGCCCTCAATAGGATGTAGGTTGTGTGGCACTGGGAGAAGGAGATCTGGGTTGTGCTCCTGGCTTTGTACCAGCTCACCAAGTGACCTTGGGTAAGGTCCCTCCCCTCACAGGATCTCAGGTTTCTCCTTCAGTCTTGCCAGATTTAAGGTTCTAGGGGTTGACATAAAGTGCCTGGCTCAGGAGGCTGAAAAACTTAGTATTCTAAGAAAAAATGCCCTCTGGTCAGGCTTAGGCCAGAGGTCAAAGCTGCCAAGACTAGCATAGTTTTGCAGTGGAAAGCACTGAAACTGTTTTTTGCTTTTTCCTCTCAATATAAAGCCTCAAAAGACCAGTATTATGTCTCTAGCTGCTTGCTGGTCTCACTGAACCAAACAACCCTGGAGGTGGATCAGGTGAATCCAGGTGAATGTGCAGGTGCTGCTGCAAGCACTTCAGCATGTTCTCTTTAATTCTCACAAAGATCCACTCAGACAATAGTCTCCAAGCTCAGAGAGGCGAGGTAACCTGATCACAGGCACGAAGCTAAGTGGAGCAGTGGTGTTTAAAATGCCAAAATGCCACGTGTCACACCCCAAGCCAACTATGCCTCCAGCAGGCAGGCTAAGGCTATAACGCACATGGTAGCCGTGACACCTGCCCCCTCAATCAAGTGTGGATGGGGCAGCAAAAGCAACTGGCTCCCAGACTCCAGATTGCGGGGCCTGGTCAGAGGGACACACACACCAGAGGTGGGAAGTGAAGAAGCTTAAAACAAGCTATTCTCAGTACTTCTCAACAATATTCACACACCTGGAATAACCCAAGGAAAGCAGTAAAGGCTTAGATTCCAGTAAGATTTAGAATCAACAATGTTCAAAGATCTCTGGGCAGGAAAAAAAACAGAGAGAAGAAAACCTGAAAAACAAACAGCATTCGTTTTCTATAAATATTTCCCCCTCTACCCTAAATTTAATTGCTTTCCACACCAAAGTTCCACACACTTAACATGGGCCTTTATGCAAGTACTAGTCTTGTGACTTCTCTGGAATGCTTGGGGAAGTAAGTTCATTGACTTTGCCAAGAACTGTTGGTCATGCACTCCCATTTTACAGATAAATAAAATGGGTCCAATGAAATTAGCAGAGGAATAAAGCATGGCATTTTCAGATTTCCACTTGAGTGCCCCAGCTCTTAGACCATTCAGTGTGGTATAACTAGCTTAGATTATGGTATTACTATTGATCCTCTGTTTACTGACTGAGATTTTGTGCCTTTTGGAAAGAAAAATGCTACTTAATTCCCTTTTACCCAGAGACTGGCATTTTAGAGTTGCTGATGTTTAACTGGTACAGAAAGGTGATTTGAGCTCCATTCTCCCCCTCCCCACCAATTAATTACCATCACTTCAAGGAAGGGAGAAGGAGCCAATTCTATTTCAAAATCACTTTATCATCTAGACTCCCCACATGCAGGATTATAGGTGTCACAAGTGGATCACAGAACACAGGCAATGCAAAACCAGTAGCAGAAGCAAAGCCTGGCAGAGATTCTAAGAACAGCTTGTCCAGGGTGTCCAATGGCAGAGGGCCAAGCAGGAAATGCCTGTCTTAATAGTGGGATGGAGGTATATTCGAAACGGGAGGCCCATCTATATTTCAGGTTCCATTGGAGTTCCAAGACCTGGTGTAACAGGTTCTGGTAGCTAATGTCTCCAACCCCAGCCTAAAAGTAGGGTTTGGTAACATAGATGATGTTCATTCTCTTCTGGGGCCTAGCAACCCTTTAACTTTTATCTGTAGGAAAAGCAAATGCCAAATATTTGAATTAAGCTGGTATCACTGACATCTCTTCCTTAACAATTGTGACACTACCTATAAATAAAACAGATCAAGGAATATATGCATCAGATGGTACTAGAGCCCTGAATTAAACTCTGACTCAAGGAAAATTTGAGACATCAGTAGGATTATCAAACTCACTGAGTTTGATACAGAAGGCCACCCTCCTTTCTCACCCTATATGGACTAGCAGCAAGGCTGGATTTATCCATGCTCACAGAGGGTATGAATAATCAAACCTAGAAAATAATTCCTGTATCTGACTCCAGCTCCAAAGGTCAGTTCCCTAGGGCCTACTCACCTTGCAAAGAAGTGGGTTTCCGAAGGCTCCATTTCTCAGAGCATCCCCACATGTACTTGGGGACAAGAAAGTGTCCTGGCAAAGGGAGACAGCCTTTAGGTATATTGCCTGTTCAACTTCCCCCTTACTCACCAGCTAATGAGACAGAGGTACTGCTCTCTTCTGCTGGTGTCTCGGGAAGAGACCTCAGGCCAGCTGAACGATTATCGTAGTTAGGCCAAGTCCTGAACTGCACTCCCATGACAGAGTTAACTGCTGTGAGCCATAATTTGGCTGATTTTCTAAAATATTTTTAAAAGAGAACATTTATAGACATACAGCAGAAGCTCAGTCTCCTTCATCATAATCCCCTTAATGGACAATTTAAGATCCAGTACTTGTGATCTTGTTCTCAAAGCAACCTAAAAATAACAACTCTCTGATTTGTTTTTCACAATAGCTTATAGCTGAGTCACTCCCAGCCAGTGATTTTGGTTGTCATTGATCTTATGTGTGTGCACCTGCAATATCTTAAAGTTCTTCCTAATATTACACAAATAACATTTCCAAAAAGGAATACTCAAAGTTGTCACTGAGCGGAAACATTAACTGTATGCTAAAGTAGTAAAAAACAGGAAACTAGTTTTGTTTCAGCTAGAATATTTTTTAAAAGATTACCTATCAACTTTCAGCACTAGGAGAGCAACTGCTCTTTTAAGAAGGTGGGGCCTGTTTCTGCCAATTATTTGTGCCTTGCACATAGTAAGACTCAATTATCAGTAAAATGAGTGAACTCCGAAATACTCTGCAATGGTAAAAGCCATCTCTTTGTTTTTTAACCTTTCAGGAAAAAAAAGAAGGCTCAAATTCCTAATGAAATGAGGATGTCTCACAAGAGTTTTTTTGGGTACACTTTTTCTATATTAAAGTTAGTTGTTCAGATAAAACACTACAACATGGAAACTTTCATACACCTGTCTTTGTTTTGATCTTATTTACGATTTGACTTAAATAAATAGAAGGTTCACACAGGTTAATAAAAGACAGAAGCGTCTGTTGCAAGGCTGTGAAGTAACACGCTCTCTCCTGGTGTACACTGACGGCAGCGTAAGATACCACCACGAGGGCTTTCCTACTCTGCGTTAGCCGGGCTAGTCCTGGTCAGAGCTTCACCCGTCTTGTGCTCCTTTTGTATCACTTCGGTACACTGAATGCACACACAGAATACAGGGTTTAATACCAGTTTTGCCCCGATCCTGTACTGCAAACATGGTGTGGTGAGACCCTGCTCACCAGGTTGGTTTGGCTGGCAAGGGCTGGAGACCAACCAAGCCCCCAATCAACCTGTTAGGCTCTCAATCCTTCAGAAATGAAATAGTCTGTATTGGACTAACAGGCAGAGCAAGGAAGACTTTCTCAGGCATACTCAAACTCTTCTCTTGATGGCTGCGGACTGCTCAAGGAGGCTTGCTTCTGGTGCAGCAGGGCCAGATCAGCATGACGGGGACCTCTGTAGATGTTTTCACTCTGGTGTTCAAGCCACTTTTATGTGACAGTCCTCAAAATTTCAAAGACATATTTGATATACTGGCTGAGAACGAGTGTGAGAACTAGCCAAAGAAAAGAAAATAAACCTACTTTAATGCACAAAGGCTCCGTTCAAAGACTTCTGGCTGTGCCAAATCTGTGCTTAAAAGCTTGACTCAGTTATAAGCATGCTGAATTGATTTTTTAAAGCCCTGTAAAACCATTTATACTTATACCTCTGTAGCAGTTTTTCTGTTGCTTTTAATGAACTTCTACTGTCCTGTTGGAGACCTTCTTATCTATCCATCCAATCTTCCATCATGAATCCCTTATTCTTCCTCCCTCCATCACCCACCCTCCTATCACCTCTCCACTCTTCCTGTCCATTCATCCTCCCATCCATCCAAGGCTCCCCATAGCCAAAGGCGACTCCCACAGCCTTCACCTTCCCCTGATAAATCAAGAAAATCACCATGAAGAATAAAACTCCAACATAATTGTGAAAGAAAACATTATTTAAAGTTCTACAAGGAGATAAAAGCTGAGTTCAACTTCTCCTTCTGTAAAGACTCTGGAAAAAGTGATTTGTTACTTGTAATTCTAGCCCCCCAGATCTCATGTAACAGCAGGCATGCTAGAATCCAGGTGGCATGCTAGCAGACAGAGCTCTCTCATAGCCCTCTCCTAGGGTAGAGAAGACTCCTGAAAAGGAAGAAAAAACTGTAAGAGTTTCACTGGGTTGGACACCCAAAAGGAGAGAAGCTCCCAGCCACAGTCGCCACTGCTGCTGCACTGTGGGAGGCCTGCAGATGCACAGGGGGAGGCTGCTGGTCCCATTTCCTCTCAGAATTTCTATTTTAGCTCCTGTAACTTTCTGTCCATTACCCTTATCTTCTATACCATCATCTCCCATCTCTCTTACAATTAGTTCACAGCATCATCTCGCAACAGCTGCCTGGCTGAGGGAGACGAACTCTCTCTCCTTGGTCCCATTAGGCCACACTTGGTTTCATCTTGCCACTCCCACTCAAAAGCACTGTTGTCACTGTGTTTCCTTTCACATTAAACAGGAACTCTCCTTTGCTCAGCTTTCAAAGATCTTCTTCCCAAATTTACCCCACCCTCCCTGAGCACACCTAACTCACCATAGTCAGGCTGGCCAGTGTCCCGTGAACATGCCTTGCCTGTAGTTGCCTCTTGCCCTTCCTGAATGTGGTTCATCTTCCCTTCAATTCAACTTGATCTCTCATCTACCAAGATATCACTTTCTTGGCTACTCCAAACCTCTACATTCTCCCTCCTCCAAACTCAAGCAAGCACTTGAGTGAACTAGAATTCAGTATAGTCTATTGTGGATAAAATGAGAGTTCCTGTGGCCAAGATTCTCACCTGGCCCTGGCTGACTAGCTCACTGCACACCTGTGGGCAATACATGGCTGTTGACTCTATAAAAAGAGCTCTACCCAGTGCTCTGGGCACGACATGGTGGCAGGACTGCAAGGCTGTAGGGCAGCAGAGCAGAGGCTGGAGTGGTGGCAGTGCCGAGGACAGAGGCCCAGAGGAACGGCTGTGCGGGACGACTGTGCAGAGACCCAGAGGATGGCTGTGCGGGATGACTGTGCAGAGAGACCCAGAGGACGGCTGTGCAGGATGGATGTGCAGAGAGGCCCAGAGGACAACTGTGCAGGATGGCTGTGTGGACAGAGGGGCCCAGAGGCAGAGACCGGCTTGCTGCATGCAGACTCGTTCTGAGTGAATGGGATTTTAGTGACTGACCTGCCACCTGGAAATAAAGTTGGGTATAACCCTTTCACCCCAAGAACGCTTTGCTGTCAATTTCTTTGGTCACACTGAATCCATAGAGAACTTGCTCGGGGCTGAAACCCATTGGCAAGACATCTTTCCTGGTTCTCATTCTTTCCTATGAGCCAGTCACATCTATGAAAATTCTTTGAAGAGAAGGATTAGTATAGGCTGAGCACCTAGGAGGCCCCACTTACTGACTAAATAGTATCAAAGTATCTCTGGTAAAGCAGTCTTAACTGGTCCTTGGGCAATGAAATCAGAGCAAAAAGCCCAAGCCCCTCAAGCCTTTGCAGGTGAATGTCCACAGCTTTGGAAAGGGTCTCACTTTCAGTTGAGCTCCCCCTGACATACAACAGCTCTTAATCTTACAGTTTGCACCTGGTCCTGCTAAAATATAATTACAGCAAACTTAGCTGAAAATGAGTCATTCAAAACCTGAACATCCATACACAGTTCTCACACTTTTGAATTACACTTATCTGTTTGAACCTATGTAATTTCACTGGTCCTACTTTAAGAACTTTCATCAGAAATTAAAATGCTGAATTCAGGGTACAGGGAAGAGAATACATCCTTATAACCAAAATAAAATATTCTGGCAATTTTGGGAACACTAGCTCTGTTTCAACTATAGGACTGTCCAGCATCAGATCAGTGTAAAACAATGCTCAGAGCCCCAAAGCAAATAAAATGGAGCTTAACAGCTTTGAAGCTGTTGAGGTACAAAAGGGGGAGTTCCTGGAGATACCTTTTATTCTCAGTCAGATAGTAATGTTACAAACAACAAAAGACACTTTCTAAGGCTCACAGTGTTTGCTTAATTAATTTTAAAAATGCACACATGACCCATGCCAATGCAAACACCAGCAAGGCTGGGACGACTTCACTGGCTTCCCTGGGTTTCAAACAGAGTCATCTTAATATCATTACACCAGAGCCTTCTGTCAAACCCCTTCTGGTACAGAATGTGCTAATCTGCCACTGAATGAGGGGGTGTGGGGGGGAAGCAGGTTCCTCGATGCTCTGCATTGCTTCCTCCCAGGCCAAATTCTTTTGTAGTTCCTCAAGATGAACAAGGAGGCCTCTACAACTTGACACTAAGTGTAAAAACCACCTCCAGAGAACAGCCAACAAACTTTGCTTCTGCCAGCAAATTTAATCACAGTGTGGCCTAGAAGAACATTAAGACTCAAACTGGGCAACTGGGTTCCAGCCCATGACCCTCACACCCCAATTTGCTGTTTGTGAACAAGTCTCAACTTCCTTATTATTTAGACAAATGAAGAGTATAACCACGAAAGTCACAAGACTGTTGCTGCTGTTCAATGAAGAATAAGAATAAAGTAAAGGTAATATGGATAACACGGGGTGGTCTCTTTACAGGTTAGAGAGTATTAAGCTCAGTCCTTGGCCATCTTTATTATCTATACCAGTGGTTTGCAAGTGGTTTGCAAGCCTACTACTTGCATCTAGTGGGTGAAGGGCAGGAATGCAGCGAACATCTTACAATTCATTACACTCCCACTCCCCTAAAAAGGACTTAGCTCGCCTAAAATGTCAACAGTCTTAGTCCATTGGCTGAGAGAAACCCTACTAGACACTCAGAACATGTGGATTGCAGCCAGTCTCACAGTGTTAGATACCATCCATATGCCACAATTCTCAAACTTGTATCTCCACCCAGACATCTCGCCTAGACGCTATATAACCTGGATTCACACAGCCCACATGGCATCTCTGTTTTGATGTTTATAGAAATTTCC